TTTTTTTTTTTGAGACAGAGTCTCATTATGTCTCCCTTAGTAGAGTGCCCTGGTGTCACAGCTCACAGCAACCTCAGACTCTTGGGCTTAAGCGATTCTCTTGTCTTAGCTCCCAAGTAGCTGGGACTACAGGTGCCCACCACAACACACAGCCATTTTTTGGTTGTAGTTGCTATTGTTGTTTGGCAGGCCCAGGCTGAATTCAAACCTGCCAGCTCCAGTATATGTGGCTGGCACCCTGGCCGCTTGAGCCACAGGCACCAAGCCGCTAGTTGGGTTTTTTGTGGCAATGATGTATTCACTTCTGTATCTAGGTAGCATGATTGTAAGAACCATTTATTGATGTTTTGAACTTAGGCTTTATTTATTAACTTTGAGGATTTTCCTCTCTCCCATAGTCCCACCACAAACATCTGTTCTTCAATCTTCTCAGTATAATTATACCACAATTTTGATTAGATTGTATATTCAGGGTTTACCTTGTAAACCTTGTAAGTACTATACAGTGTTCCTAAAAGCTGAGGTATGTAGCATGTAATGATATTTTGCCTTTTCTACTGAACCATTTGTTTCTCTTAGAGTTAATAATTGCATTTTTTGTGGAGTAGAACAATACTTAGTTTTATTGTGTAATTATTTCCAGATCAACACTAAAGTTTATTTAAGTTTTAAAAATCTTTCATTGTGTTCAAGCATTCTAGTTATTCTGTCATTTTCATCTTAAAAAAATCACCCTGAGCCCCTAGTGCTATTCCACTATAAGCACATTGCTCTGCTGTTCATGGCACCAGCAGCTTCTTTCCTCATTTCCATCCTGGGGTTCCTTTCGACTCTGTTAGCTCCTCTTAATTTCTGAATTCCATATCTTTTTGTTTTGTTTGTTTTTTATTTTCTTATTTCAGTGGAGCACACCTCAGTAACATTCTGAGGAAGAGTACTGAGAAGTAAATTTTTTTTTTTTTTTTTTTTTGAGACAGATCGCCCTTAGGAGAGTGCTGTAGTGTTTACAGCTTATAGCAACCTGAAACTCTCAGGCTTAAGCTATTCTCTTGCCTCAGCCTCCCAAGTAGCTGGGACTACAGGACAGGCACCTGCCACAATGCCCGGCTATTTTTTGGTTGTAACTGTCATTGTTGTTTAGCAGGCTCAGGCTGGCCTCAAACCTTTCAGCCTCTGTGTATGTCGCTGACGCCCTACCCACTGAGCTATGGGTGCCGCCAAGAAGTAAATTTTTACATTTAAACTGTCTATGGTTTTTAGATTATACCAATGCCAATTTCCTGGTTTGATATTATAGTCTGTGTCTGGTCTGTCCATGTCACTCTTGTTACCATGTAACATAAAATGTGACATCAGTGGCCGGGTGCAGTGGCTCACGCCTGAAATCTTAACATGCTGGTTGGCTGAGGCAGGTGGTTTGCTTGAGCTCAGGAGTTTAACACCAGCCTGAGCCAGAATGAGACTCCATCTCAAAAAATAGCTGGGCATTGTGGTGGGTACCTGTAGTCGCAGCTACTCAGGAGATTGAGGCAAAGGAATCAACTGAGCCCAAGAGTTTGAGGTTGCTGTGAGCTATGACTCTACCCAGGCTGACCACGTGAAACTCTGTTTCAAAAAAAAAAAAGTGACATCAGGGAAACAGGTGAAGGGGCACATGGGACCATTCTTTACCATTTTTGCAACTTCCCATCAAGCTATAATGATTGGCTTGGTGCCCATAGGTCAGTGGTTAGGGCACTGGCTACATATACTTTACATATATATTAATAAATATTTTAAAATAAAAAGTTAAAAAGAAAAGTCTCTATTCTGATCTCCCATTTCTCTATGTGTAGAATTTTTCTGATAATTTGTTTTGTTTTGTTTTGTTTTTTAGTATAACAAAGAAAAATTTTATTTAAGAGCAAAAAGGGCTTTGCGCCTGTAGCACAGTGGTTACGGCGCCAGCCACATATACCAAGGTTGACAGGTTCGAACCCAGCCAGGGCCAGCTAAACAACAGCGACAACTGCAACAAAAAATAGCTGGGTGTTGTGGCAGGCTCCTGTAGTCTTAGCTACTTGGGAGGCTGAAGCAAGAGAATCACTTAAGCCTAAGAGTTGGAGGTTGCTGGGAGCTGTGACCCCACTGCACTCTACCGGGGGCGACAGTGCCAGACTGTCTCCAAAAAAAAAAAAAAAGAGCAAAAAGAGGGGTTAGCACTTCCAATGAGAATTGCAAATGGGTTCCTCTCACAAGTGAGAAGAGAGAGAGACCTTTCCTGAGAAGTTTTTAAGGGCCCCTCACTCCATTTTCTTCTAGCTCCTGGTGTATTGTTTAGAATTTGAGGCCATTTGTCTCTTGAACCTTTGTGTAACACCTGTTTTTTCCAACGTCTGACAACATGTTCGATTTTTTTCTTTGTCTCCAGTATTTTGGAAATTCGTGGTAATGTGCTGTAGCATATGTCTAGTTTCATCCATGGTTCTGTACAAGTGATAAATATTTTTTATTCTGAAAACTCATATATTCCAGTTTTGGGATACTTTTTGGATTTTTTGTTTGTTTGAGACAGAGTCTTGCTCTATCTCCCTGGGTAGAGTACCATGTTATCATAGCTCACAGCAACCTTAAACTCTTGGGTTTAGGTGATCCTCCTGCCTCAGTGTCTTGAATAGTTGGGTTTACAAGTGCCTGCCACAACGTGGGGCTGGTTTTTCTAATTTTTAGTAGAAATGGGAATCTCTATCTTGCTTAGGCTGCTCTCAAACTCCTGAGCTGAGGCAATACACGCACCAGGGCCTTCCAGAGTGCCAGGGTTATAGGTGTGAGCTACCTTGCTTGCCTGAATTTTGTAATGATGGTGTCCTTCCCTTTATTTCATTGTTCTCTCCCTGTGCAATGCTTAGTAATCAGATGGTGGAACTGTTATTAAACTAGTCTTCTGCCTCGGCGCCTGTGGCTCAAGCGGCTAAGGCGCCAGCCACATACACCTAAGGTGGCGGGTTCGAATCCCCAGCCCGGGCCCGCCAAACAACAATGATGGCTGCAACCAAAAAATGGCCAGGCGTTGTGGCAGGTGCCTGTAGTCCCAGCTACTTGGGAGGCTGAGGCAGGAGACTCGCTTGAGCCCAGGAGTTGGAGGTTGCTCTGAGCTGTGAAGCCATGGCACTCTACCCAGGGGGATAGCTTGAGGCTCCGTCTCAAAAAAAAAAACAAAAAAAAACTAGTCTTCTAATCGTCTCTTCTTTTTTCCCATCACTTTGTATTTTTGTAGTATTTTCTAGAATTATTTTAGCTTTTTCTTCTAAACCTATTTTTAAGTTGGTTCTTTATTTTTTCTATCATATTTTTCATATACCATAGTTCTTTTTTACTCATTGAGTATTTTTTTTTTTTGAGACAGAGCCTCAAGCTGTCACCCTGGGTAGAATGCTGTGGCATCACAGCTCACAGCAACCTCCAACTCCTGGGCTCAAGTGATTCTCCTGCTTCTGCCTCCCAAGTAACTGGGACTACAGGCACCAAGCCATATATTACAGATACCATAGCAAATAACCTAGAAGTCCCTCTTCAGTAGACTGGATAAAGTAACAAATCGATTTAAACATTGAAATACTATTCAGTAAAAATGAATAAACCTAGGCTCAGTGCCTGTGGCTCAAGCGGCTAAGGCGCCAGCCACATACACTTGAGCTGGCAGGTTTGAAGTCAGCCCCGGCCTGCCAAAACAACAATGACGGCTGCAACCAAAAAATAGCTGGGCATTGTGGCCAGGTATAGTGGCTCATGCCTATAATTCTAGTACTCTGGGAGGCTGAGGTGTGTAGATTACCTGAGCTCATGAGGTTACTCTGAGCAAGAGTGAGACCTCATCTCCACTAAAAACAGAAAAAGTAGCCAGGTATCTGACTAGAATAACTAGCCAGAAAAACTACCCATAGTGGGTACCTGTAGTCCCAGCTACTTGGGAGGGTGAGGGAAGAGGATTGTTTGAGCTCGGGAGTTTGAGGTTGCTGTGAGCTGGTGATGACATGGCACTCTACTCAGGACAACTGAGTGAGACTTTGTCTCAAAATTAATAAAGTAAAATAAAAATAAAAATCTCCTCCTTATTCTTTTTTTAAGTGATGAGGTCTCATTATGTTGCCATGCTATTCTTGAACTCCTGGCCTCAAGCAGTCCTTCCACCTCATCTTCTAAGGAGCTGGGATTATAGGTGTGACCTCTATACCTGGCCTTGGAGTTATTTATTTTTGAGACAGAGTTTCACTTTGTCACCCTTGATAGCGTGCCAGGCGTCATAGCTCACAGCAACCTCAAACTCTTGGGCTCAAGTGATTTTCTTGCCTCAGCCTCCTAAGTAGCTGGGACTACAGGCGCCTGCTACAACGCCCGGCTATTTTTAGAGATGAGGTCTCACTCTGGCTCAGGCTGGTCTCCAACTTGTGAGCTCGAGCAATCTACCCACCTCAGCCTCCCGAGTACTCAGATTACATGCATGAGCCACCATACCCTGCCTACCATGGAGCTTTTTCTTCTGTCTTTCATCTGCCGTACTACTACCACCCTTAACTATGCTGATAGTCTCAGTCCAGAGATCATGTTTTCTAGCAGAGCTCCTGCCAGGGTAGGTTGTGGGGCTGTTATTTGGCTACAACTAATGGTAGAGGAGATTTAGGGGGCCTAGCCGCCTCTTCAGCTCTTCTCATCTCTACTTGTTTCTGCTTTATTTTTGTTTTTTTGAGACAGTCTCACTTTGTTGTCCTTGGTAGAGTACCGTAGCATCACAGCTCACAGCAACCTTAAACTCTTGGGCTTAAATGATTCTCTTGCCTTAAGCCTCTCAAGTAGCTGGGACTACAGGTGCCCACCACACCTGGCTATTTTTGGAGACAAGGTCTCCTCTGGCTCAGGCTGGTCTCAAACTTGTGAGCTCCGGTGATCCACCTGCCTTGGCCTCCCAGAATGCTAGGATTACAGGTGTGTGCCACCATGCCTGGCCTCCACCTGTTTTTAATACCAGCTTTACCTCCACTTACAGAGGTACCTGATGTCTTGTATTTTTACTGGTCTTTGATATAAATTTAGTTGTCCCTTAATTTTCTCCACTTGGAATTCAGTTTATATTTTCCTTTACCTATTACTACTCATCTCTTTTCAGCTGCAAAATATTGTTGCTTTTATCTTTTCTCTTACTGTCTTATTTCTTAGGCTTCTAGCTTAATAAAATTTCTTTCCAAAAAAATAAAAATTCCTTTCCATTTTCATGGGGGTTCAAGAGAGAACAAAGCCAAGTGGATGTATTTAATCTCTCTGTTTTAACAGTAAGTTTCTCTTTAGCCTATGAAAGTGTGGATGTTATTATCAGGAAGATCTCCAATTATTTCCCCATTGGCCTATCTTATCCCCTTTGACTTTATAGTTGGCACTATAGTTCCCCGATTCCTTCTTCAGACCCCTTGTTACCCTTTGTGATACCAGGGCTTGTACCTCAGGCTGCCTTGTTTAAGGTCTATTCTTTGAACTCTGTTCCACCCTTCCCCAGAATGCCTGCAAACTCTGCCCACCTCTGGTTTGCTTTGTCTCCTGAAGAGCCCCTCATTTGTTTAGTGCTGATCAGACCAATCTCTTTTGCTTCCTGCAATTCATCCATTATTTTGCACATGAATTATTCTCTGCTCTTCCCTGCCTTAGGTAGCACATTGTGTTCCGTTCAGATTCATTTTTAGCTATATCTATTCCAGGAACATTTTTTTTGTCCTAGTTTCAGTTATGTGTTATTTTTTGTGCACATTTTTGTATATTTTTCTTTTAATGTAGAATGTCATTATTGGTCTACATTTCTGCTGTCTCTCTCAGTTGTCCATAAGCTCCTTGAGGGGAGGAAGTGCTTCTTTTTCTGTGTGCTTAGCTGTTAGCACAGTGACAGGCACATGCATTATACATGTTGAATGAATGGATGCTTTTTTTTTTTTTTTTGAGACAGAGCCTCAAGCTATCCCCTTGGGTAGAGTGCCGTGGCTTCACAGCTCATAGCACCTGTAACTCCTGGGCTCAAGTGAGTCTCCTGCCCCAGCCTCCCAAGTAACTGGGACCACAGGCACCCGCCATAATGCCTAGCTATTTTTTTTTTTGGTTGTAGCCGTCATTGTTGTTTGGCGGGTCTGGGCTGGATTCGAATCCACCACCTTAGGTGTACGTGGCTGGCACCTTAGCCACTTGAGCCACAGGCGCCAAGCCAATGGATGCTTATTATCAGGGGTGTAAGTTCCAATTCTTCTGTCCATTTACTCTTGAAATACAGCTGTTTCTGTCTCTCTCTTTTATATGTGTGTCTTTCCTTCTTCTTTCTTCCTCTTCCTCCCTCCTCCTCCCCTTTTCTTCCTCTTCCTTCTCTTCTTCTTCTTCCTTCTTCCCCAGGCTCAGGGCCAGGTTCCAACCTGCCACCCCTGTCGCACAGGGCCAGTACTCTAACCACTGAGCAGTAGGCACCCAGCCTCTTCTTGATGATCTCTTGCTCTTTTTGTCAGGCTTGAGTGATGCAGTCATAACTCACGCTAATCTCAAACTCAGGGTCTGAAGTGATACCTCCTGTCTCAGCCTCCTAAGGAGCTGGGACTACAGTTGCCTACCACCTTACCAGGCTAATTTTTTTTTCTTTTTCTGTAGAGATGTGGTTTCACTATGTTCCCTAGAATAGTCTTAAATTCCTGGCCTCTCTTTTCTTCTTTCCCTTTCCTTCTACTGCCCTTCATGCCATTATTTGCTTCAAAGGGAACTTCCATGTGTTCGAGATAAGGGTTATTTTACTATTACTAGAGTAGCCAAGAAGGAGCAAATCTTATATAAAATTACTCTGGTCATCTGCTTCCTTTTCTCTGTAGCCTAAACTTTATCCTTCCTGACAATCGGAATAGACGTCATCAGTTAGAAGTTATAGAGTGATTATTAGATCTTCAATTAGAGATTAGTTTAATTTGAAATGTAGAAGTATTCAGCATATGCTACTTAATGTATTTATGTATTTGGATGTTTGTGTGTACATATCACCAACCCCCACCCACCCCATTCCCAGCTGACAGACAACAGTGTTTCTGGAAGAAGTGTAAGTCACCCTTTATTTCTTTATGTTCAGTTTTATAAGAAGACCAAACAGTTGCCAATCTTAGCAAAGTGCTGTGAAGAGATCCAGCCGCACCAGTGGAAACCACCTATAGAGAGGGAAGAACACCGGCTCCCATTCTGGCTAAAGGTACAATCCTCCCCTCCAGGTCTTTAGGAGGTACAAGGTCACTGACAATTCAGGCAAAAATAGCAAGGGCACCTCTCATCTTCTGAGGCGGAATCTTCCTCACTTACCCTCGTCCCTTACTTTTCTGTCCTTACCCCAGGTGATTCTACAACCTTTTCAATCTAATGGGTAAAAAATGATAACTTTCTAAAGGAAATTCAGAAAAGAGTTTCTAGAGTATATAATTGGAATGTGGTCTTCACAGAAATTTGATGTGCAGAAAAACTTTTCTACACCTCTTTTGTTAAGTCTATTTCTAGGTATTTCATTTTCTTTCTTCTTTTTTTTTTTTTTTTTTGGCCGGGGCTGGTTTGAACCCGCCACCCCTAGTATATGGGGCCGGTGCCCTACCTTTTTAAGCCGCAGGCGCCGCCCAAGAAAAACTTTTCTTAGAAAGATGTTTTGAGATGATCCTGGGAAAAGTCTAGATAGCCCTACTCTTTTCCTCAATTTCTGACTTGTGCAGGATTTAAGTGTTCTTATTCCCACTAGGCCAGTCTGCCGTCCATCCAGGATGAACTTCAGCACCTCACTGATGGTGCCAGAGAGGCAGGAAAAGGGACTGGAGACACCAAGATCAGCTCAGATCAAGAAAAAGATGCCTCTGCATTGGGGAGTGAAACTCAGTACCCACTGCTGTTGCCTAAGGGTGTGGTCCTAAAACTGAAGCCAGTTGCCAATCGATTTTCTAGGAAGGCCTGGAGACAGAAGCGATCATCAACCCTGAAACCCCTCCTCATCCGACCCAGTCCTTCTCTCCAGACTGGCTTCAACCCTGGGAAAACACTAGCCAGGTCAACTCAATCAGAGGCCCCTCCTAGCAAAATGGTAGTACGGGTTCCTCCCCTGATCCAGCCAACTGCTGTCTTACAGACGGTTCCAGGAGTCCCCCCACTGGGGGCCAGCGGAAGTGACGGATTTGAGTCTCCTATAGCACCACCCATCATGCCCTCTGAGGGCAATGCCGGCTTCCCTCTGTCTGAATTTCAGACCATGCTTTCTTCTGCTCCTGTGCCCAAGGTGATGCTGCCCTCCCTTGCCCCTTCTAAGTTTCGAAAGCCATGTGTGAGACGGAAACCCTCAAAAGTAAAAGGGGCCAAGGCCTCTCCCGGTGTGAAAGCTGCTCCTGTTATCCACTCCACACCTGTTATTTTCACTGTGCCTGCAGCCACTGTGAAGATTGTGAGCCTCAGCAGTGGCTGTAACATGATCCAACCTGTCAATGCAGCTGTTGCCCCGAGTACTCAGACTATTCCCATTACTACCCTCTTGGTTAACCCTACTTCATTCCCTTGTCCATTGAATCAGCCCCTTATGGCCTCTTCCATCTCACCCCTAATTGTTTCTGGCAACTCTGTGAATCTTCCTGTACCATCCACCCCTGAAGATAAAGCCCAAGTGAATGTGGACATTGCCTGCCCCTTGGCTGAAGAGAAAAATGTCTTTCAAGGCCTAGAACCCAAAGTAGAACCCCAGGAACTATCTCCTTCCTGTGCTCCTGTCTTCCCCAAAGAAGAGCATAGCCCAGGGCCCCTGCCCACAGGCAGAGAGTGCCCTGAAGGGTCATCAGAGACCAGTGCCTACCGCTGGACCATCATAAAGACAGAGGAGGGAAGGCAAGCCCTGGAGTTGCTGCCTCAGAGCTCCCAGAAATCTCTGAACTCTTCCTCTGGGGATTTACAGGAAGTTGTCAAGATGGAACCTGAGGATGCTGGGGAGGAAATCAGTGAATACTCTGAACAGGACATTTGTGAGGAAATCAAGGAAGAGCAGTCCATGGATTTGGACACTGGCTCCCCTCGTGAGGAGCTGACCAAAGCTCAAGAGGCAAAGAAACACACAGTTTTACAGAAGGAAGAGGAGAGGAGTCAGCCAGCTCAAACCCCTGTAGCTTCTAAGGAGCCTCCTGCTGAACGAAACTTGGGGGGAGATGTGAGCAAAGGATCACCAAAGAATCCTCTGTTCTTCACAGACCATGAAGTGATGCTTAGTAGTCCCCCAGGGAAACCTGAAGATGCATCCAGTGTTGATGGTCAGTCACTGGGGACCCCAGCTGGGCCAGAAACTGTAGGAGAAAAGGATGGGCCAGATGAAGAGGAAGATGAGGACTTTGATGACCTCACCCAAGACGAGGAAGACGAGATGTCATCAGCTTCAGAGGAGTCCGTGCTTTCTGTTCCAGAACTCCAGGTAGGAGCTGGAAAATATTTTCAAGTGTTTTGTAATTTATTAACATGCCACCTGTCTTAAAATCGTCTGTATTTGACTTTTGCATGCATTATGGAACATAATTTTGGGGTTGAGCTGAAACAAGAGGGAAAGGATGAAGTTTCACTTATTATATTGAGTTAAACTCATCTAAACATTAAATTGAATCACCCAAGTACACTTTAATTATTTTAAAAGACTGGGCGAGGTGGCTCATGCCTGTAATCCCAGCACTGTGGGAGGCCAAGGCCAGAGGATCCCTTGAGCTCAGGAGTTCAAGACCAGCCTGAGCAAGAGTGAGATGCCATCTCTACTAAAAATAGAAAAAGTAGCTGAGCATGGTAGCAGGTGCCTTTAGTCTAGCTACTTGGGAGACTGAGGCAGGAGAGTCACTTGAGCCCAGGAGTTTGAGGTTGCTGTGAGCAACAGTGATGCCTTGGTACTCTACTGAGGGTAACACAGTGGGACTCAATTTCAGAAAAGGGGAAAAAAATAGCTCATGATTATGAGCCATGATAAAAGAAAGGTATCTGCAGGGTACAGGAGAACCTCTCAAAAAATGACTTCTTCCCTCTCCTCCTGGCAGGCCTAATTTCAGCTGCATCTGGGAATCAGGCTTCTCATGGCTGTGATAGGTCCCCCATTGTTTAGTCTGTGTGATCTTCAAATGTAGCTCTGTGTTTTCAGCATTTTGTAAGCCACTAGGAGCCATTATAAGTACTCTTTGGAGGGTTTTGCAGGAAACAATGGAGAAACTGACATGGCTGGCATCTGAAAGGCGCATGAGTCAGGAGGGTGAGTCTGAAGAAGAGAACTCCCAGGAGGAGAATTCTGAACCGGAAGAGGAAGAGGAAGAGGAAGCAGAAGGAATGGAAACCCTGCAGAAGGAGGATGAAATGACTGATGGAGTAGTTGGAGTCTCTGCTGAGAAGCCCCCTTCTACCTTGACCTCCCCCAAGACTGCTCCAGATGTGGAGACCAGCAGAACTTCTTCAGGTAAGCTTGTCATATCTGTCCTGAGAGATTACTCTCACTTAGCTTCATTGTCTATAGGAGGAGTGCAGACTGGGTGGCTCATACACTAGTTAAAGGATTTTGAGAGGAAATCCCACGGATCTATTCTGCAACCTCCCTTCCCTAAAACAGATGTTTAGTGTGGTACCTGTGCAGAGAAGAGATGTTCAGAACATTTTAATTTGCTTCACATGAGCTGCTAGATATGCATTAGGGTCATCCACTTTTTTTTTTCTTTGAGACAGAGTCTCACTTTGTCACCTTTGGTAGAATGCCCTGGCATCATAGCTTACAGCAACTTCAAACTCTTGGGCTCAAGTACTCTTGCCTCAGCCTCCTGAGGACCTGGGACTACAGGTACCTGTGACACACCCGGCTATTTTTTAGGGTCTTGTTCTTGCTCAGGCTGGTCTTCAACTTCTGAGCTCAGGCATTGACCTCCCAGAGTGCCAGGATTACAGATGTGAGCCACCGCACCCAGCCTGGTCATCCACATTTTTATACTGGTTCCTTATCTATCACATGTAAGGCTAAGACCTTTTTTTCCCCCCCAGAACACACTGTTTATTGTGTATCAAGACATCATCCCTTGAGAGCCCAACATAAAGCTGCATTAACTCTGTAGACTTCATTTCTTGTTATGCAGTAGCTAATTATCTCATTGTCTTCCCAATTAGTGTAGTCATGCTGCAGACATTTCATACTTGACAAACCTGCCCTTTGCAAAGTTTTCCCAGCAGCTTTTCCCCTGAGGTGCTCCACAGCATTGAGCAGGGTTTAGATGGGGGATGAATTTGGTGGAATGGAGAGAGTAGCGGTTGCAGGGACTGAGAAATAATGTTTTTCATGTGTACTCCAAGGAGAAAGCATTAAAGCTGCTGGAAAGGGCCGGAACAATCATCGAGCCCGCAACAAGCGAGGAAGTCGGGCTCGGGCCAGCAAGGATGCCTCCAAGCTGCTGTTGCTGTATGATGAAGACATTCTCGAGAGGGATCCACTCAGGGAACAGAAGGACTTGGCCTTTGCCCAGGCTTATCTGACCAGGGTAGGCAAATGCTGCTTCCTGTTACTGCCAGTCCCTGTGAATGCGGCTGTTTCTCCTTTAAAAATGAAGTCTGCTTTTCAAGCTGCACATCAGGCCTTGAATGCCCCTGCCTTAGCTTTCTTGGCAAAATACCTCTGTAAGTAAACCACAAGGAGATTCAGAGTTCAGTCATCAGTGTTTTTTGTTAGTATCCTAGCATCATCCCTCTGTAGCCTAGCAATTGGCAAAAAGATGATGTCTCCTTCATGGGAGGTTGTGACTTTCCTGGGTGGTTGGGCAAGGCAGTTGGTACACTGGCCAGAGAATGGGTCTTAGGGAAGTGCCATGGTCTGCAGACATGAAACAACCTATTTCTGGTCGTGTCCTTGGTAACTCCCTCCTCCTGTCAGTAACTAGCTGGGCTCTTTTATCCCCCAGCAGGGTGCAGAGCTGACAGTGATAGTTATGATTTTGTCTTGTCTCTTACTGTTTACTAACATCCCTAACATGTTATTTACCCTGAAATGACACCATGCTGAAATACACATGCAAACATGCATTCTGACCTATTTTGTTATGGAGCTAAAGTCAGGAAGAAGAGAGTAGGACTGTGACCTGGAGATAAGCATCACCAGTTTTCTGTATGGAGTGTGGTCCTTAGAAAATGAAAGGTTTTTGGTTGCCCAGTATCAAGAAAAGATCTCTGCCTTGCTTACTGCTCTGTGTCTTCCATTAATAGCTGGGTGTTAAGAACCACTGGAGGGATAGCCTCTGGTGATTCTTGGAGCTCTCTAACCATACCCTCCCCCTTCTCCTTTGTAACTTGCTTTTTTTTTTTTTTTTTCTTTGGCCAGGGCTGGGTTTGAACCCCCCACCTCTGGCATACGAGGCTGGTGCCCTACTCCTTTGAGCCATAAGCGCCACCCAGTACCTTGCTTCTTGTTTGGGCCCAAAGGAAGAATGTTGATGATTCAAAGTTTTCCTATGTAGGTTCGAGAAGCCTTACATCATATCCCTGGCAAGTATGAAGACTTCCTTCAGGTCATCTATGAATTTGAGTCAAGTACCCAGAGGCAGACAGCTGTGGATCTCTATAAAAGCCTACAAATTCTGCTCCAAGATTGGCCTCAGCTCTTGAAGGACTTTGCTGCTTTCCTGTTACCCGAGCAAGCTCTGGCCTGTGGATTAGTAAGTAGATGGACAAACACAAAACACCGGGCTTCTGGGTGGCACCTGTGGCTCAGTGAGTAGGGCACCATATACTGAGGGTGGTGGGTTCAAACCTGGCCCTGGCTAAACTAACAACAACAACAACAAAATAGCCGGGCACTGTGGTGGGTGCCTGTACTCCCAGCTTCTTGGGAGGCTTAGGCAAGAGAATTGCCGAAGCCCAAGAGCTGGAGGTTGCTATGAGCTGTGACACCATGGCACTTTACTGAGGGTGACAGAGTGAGACTCTGTCTCTAAAAACAGCAAAAACAATACTGGGCTTCTGGGTCTGAGAAAGACTATGACTAAACAGAATGAAGACGGTTCCAGTTTCACAGCTACTCCAGACGGGTAGCCTCCCTTAGCCCACCTTTCAGTGGATGATCTTCCCAACCCCCTCCTCCCATTTTCTTTATGTGGAATGTGAGGGACTTTATCTTTAGTTGCCAGTGGAGACCTTAGGTTAGTTATACTTCTCATATGCTCCTCATGGATGTAAAACAGGCATTTAATGGTAGTGAAATACTCATTTAAATATTTGTTTAGTGCCTACTACATAGGAATATAACAGTTTAAAAAAAGACTATATTTCTCATGGGGAAAAACATGATAATCCATGAAACATATAAACATAAGTATAAATTATTAAAATTAATAGTAAAGGCTGGGCCTGGTGGCTCACACCTATAATCCTAGCACTCTGGGAGGATGAGGTGGGTGGATTGCTTAAGCTCAGGAGTTTGAGACTGACTTGAGCAAAAGCGAGACCCCATCTCTACTAAAAATAGAAAAACTGAGGCAACAGGATTACTTGAGCCCAAGAGTTGGAGGTTGCTGTGAGCAGTGACACCACAAGCACTCTACCTAGGGTAACAGCTTGAGACTCTGTCTCAAAAAAAAAAAGAAAAAAACAGTAAAATATATAGTATATAATGTTTTATATATAAATAAAATAAAGCAAAAAGCAGCCTGAAGGGTTGGAGGTGAGTTGGTTGGGAGGACAGTGTGTATGCAGTTTCATACAAGTGGTCATGGATGCCACTGTGATGATGTGACATTAGAAATGGTGAAGAGTAAGAGTGGTGCTGAGCTTCTTATCCTGACTGATACAAATAGAAGTAGAGAGAAAATGATAGTCTCATGGCAGTTAAGTGACAATAGGATAATTATATATGTAAGGCCCATCTTCTCTTCTGGTATGAAGATAAAATGAGTGTATATATGAAAACCTCTTGTGAGTGTATATATGAAACCACGTGAGTCTGCATGCATGTGTGATTTTACAGTCCATAAATCAAACATCTCAAAGTAGCCATCTTTCCAATCTTTTATTCACATTTTAGTTATTTTGAGTTGGTGCCCCCAGTGGCCCAAAGGAGATGGATACAGGGTTTTAGATAAGATCTCACAGCTGTAAACTAGGCTTCTTCTTTTTTTTTTTTTTTTGAGACAGTGTCTCACTATGTTCACATCCGGGTAGAGGGTCATGGTGTCACAGCTCACAGCAACCTCCAACTCTTGGGCTTAAGTGATTCTCTTGCCTTAGCCTCCTGAGTAGCTGGGACTACAGGTGCCTGCCACAATGCCGGGCTATTTTTTGTTGCAGTTGTCATTATTGTTTAGCTGGCCTGGGCCAGGTTCAAAACCACCAGCCTTAGTGTATGTGGCTGGTGCCATAACCACTGTGCTACAGGCGCCAAGCCTAAACTAGGCTTTTGTCACCCCCACATCCCCGTCTCATTAGTTCTTACCCTCAAAAACCTCAAGTCCTGCTCTAGTTGTGGAGGTGACCCTTCTTTTGCCTTCTTTTCACTGTTACAGTTTGAGGAGCAGCAGGCTTTTGAGAAGAGTCGCAAGTTCCTTCGGCAGCTGGAGATTTGCTTTGCAGAGAACCCGTCACACCACCAGAAGATTATCAAAGTCCTCCAGGGCTGTGCAGATTGTCTTCCCCAGGAGATTGCTGAGGTACCCCTTCCTATTGTTTTCTTGGCCTGAGGCCCTTTCCTTTTGTGTTCCCCTTATTCCATGGCCTTTTGCCTCTGGTGTACTATGAGCTTCTTGGAGGAAATGAAGAAGGTGAGGACTTTTAGGCTTATATACAGCACACTTCACTGGGATAGATTGGGCTTGCCACCTGAGACCAGAGCCACACTAATCTTCACAGGCTCAGGAATGCCACCAGTTCCTTAGAAGTGATGTTTAAGGAAGGAGGTTTTGGGCCAGGCATGGTGGCTGACACCTGTAATCCAGCAGTTTCCAAGGCTGAGGTGGGAGGATTGCTTGAGGGCAGGAGTTTGAGATCAGCCTGGGGAAATTTGCAAGACCTCATATCTATCAAAAAAAAATTATTTTTTAGTTTTTTGAGACAGTCTCACTTTATCACATTCTGTAGAGTGCTGTATTGTCATAGCTCACAGCAATCTCAAACTCTTGGGCTTAAGCCATCCTCTTGTCTCAGCCTCTTAAGTAGCTGAGACTAAAGCTGCTGGCTACAACACCCAGCTATATTTAGAGACGGGGTCTCATACTAGCTCAGGCTGGTCAGGAACTCCTAAGCTCAAGCAATCTGCCTGCCTTGGCCTGCCAGAGTGCTAGAATTACAGGTATGAGGCACTGTGCCCAGCCTAAAGACAACTTTTTTTTTTTTTTTTTTTTTTTGGAGACAGGAGACTCAAGCTGTACCCCTGGGTAGAGTGCTGTGGCATCACAGCTCACAGCAACCTCCAACTCCTGGGCTCAAGCGAGTCTCCTGCTTCAGCCTCCCGAGTAGCTGGGACCATAGGCGCCCGCCACAACGCCTGGCTATATTTTTTGGTTGCAGCCATCATTGTTGTTTGGTGGGCCCGGGCTGGATTTGAACCTGCCACCTTGGGTGTATGTGGCTGGCACCTTAGCTACTTGAGCCACAGGTGCCCATCCAAGACAACTTTTTTAAAAAAAATTAGCCAGGTGGGTGTGTGTTCACCCATGTATGTGTATATGGATGCTCACACCTGTAATTGTAGCACTCAGTGGACGCCTGAACTTAGGAGTTTGAGACCAGTCTGAGCAAGAGGGGTACCCCTCTATTAAAAATAGAAAAACTACTCAGGTGTTGTGGCAGGTGCCTGTAATCTCAGCTTCTTGGGAGGCTGAGGCAAAAGGATTGTCTGAGCCTAAGAGTTTGGGTTGCTGTGAGCTATGATGAAGCCATAGCAATCTAGCCTGGGCCACAGAGTAAGACTCGGTCTCAATAAACAAACAAATAAAATAAATAGAATACATGAAGAAATAAATTAGCCAAGTATAGTGGCACAAATCTGTAGTCCCAGCTATTCAGGAGGCTGAGATGGGAGGATCATGTAAGCCCAGGGGTTTAAGTCTATTCTGAGCTGTGACTCTGCCCCTGCCCTCTAGCCCGGGTGCCAGAAGGAGTACCTATCTCAAAAAATAAAAAGAGGGGCCCGCCTCCTTGCTCTGCTTGTGTTAGTGCCCCAGCTAGAGAAGAGTAGTGCAGGAGTGGAAAGTACAAAAGTTAGGAATCAGCCTCCTGTTAATATCCCTCCTATGTAGGCAGGCAGAGAGGAAGAGGAAAGTTTGTTCTCAGCTGGGTGTGGTGGCTCACACCTGTTATCCCAGAACTCTGGGAGGCTAAGGCAAGTGGATTGCTTGAACTCAGGAGTTGAACAGTCTGAGTAAGAACAAGACACCATCTCTAAAACCAGCCTGGGATTATGGTGGGCACTTGTAGTCCCAGCTACTTGGGAGGCTGAGGCAATAGGATCTCCTGTGGCCAAGAGTTTGAGGTTGCTGTGAGCTGTGTTGCCATGGCACTCTACCAAGGGCAACAAGTTAGACTCTGTCTCAAAGAAAGAAAGAAAGAAAGAACGTTTGCTCTGAAAGAAAGGCTCCATGCATCTCTCAGTTGACTAAGGAAGCAAGATGTGGATGTGTGTGCGTTGCTTTGGATTGGTAGCCTGGAGAGGCCCTAGATGTGTTTTTCAGCCTTTTTCATCTTGCAGCACACTTGAACCAATAGTTAAACTTCTGAGGCACACTTAAATTATGTTCATCAAAAAAAGGTAAGAAGAGGCCAGGTGTGGTGGCTTATACCTATAATCCTAGCACTCTGGAAGGCTGAGGCAGGTGGATTGCCTGAGCTCACAGGTATGAGACCAGCCTAAGCAAGAGCGAGACCCTGTCTCTAAAAATAGCTGAGCATTGTGGAGGGTGCCTATAGTTCCAGCTACGCAGGAGGCTGGGGCAAGAGAATTGGTTGAACCCAAGAGTTTGAGATTGCTGTGAACTGTAACAGTATGGCACTCTATGGAGGGTGACAAAGTGAGACTCTGTCTCAAAAAAAAAAAAAAAAAGTAAAAAGAAGAATATACTTACTGTTCTTTGAACTTCTTTCAAAAATAGTATAATTGATGATTAAAAACTTTATGGCACACCTAAGATCCTCTCATGGCACACTGGTTGAAAATCACTGCTCTAGAGACTTCATCTTCCCCTCTACAACTCTCTCCAGCTCAAGACACAGATGTGGCATCTCCTCAAGGGCCATGACCACCTACAGGATGAGTTCTCCATCTTCTTTGACCATCTGCGCCCAGCTGCTAGCCGCATGGGTGACTTTGAAGAGATAAATTGGACTGAAGAGAAAGAGTACGAGGTACAGGCCCTGAGGCTGCAGGAGGGTTGTGAAAGATAAAGGCCACATGTGGGAGGGCTGTTGGCCTAGAGTCTGTGCTGAGTGGCACCAACTCCTCCTCAGTTTGATGGCTTTGAAGAAGTGGCGCTGCCTGATGTGGAAGAGGAAGAAGAACCCCCCAAGATACCCACAGCCTCAAAAAACAAAAGAAGAAAAGAGATTGGGGTCCAAAATCATGATAAGGTATGCCTCCTTGTTGAGGATATTTTTCATGCACACACTTCTTGTTTTCTCTGGATTAGTATGGTCCAGAATTTCTGATCCAGAGCCTCTGGGGTCTGAGCCAATCATGGAGCACAAAGCAAAGATCAGGCTGACATGATCATGGAAAATTGCAGCTGCTGAAGAGACCGCGTGAGCCCCTTATTATAAGGATATTTACCCCTTTGCTTTCTAGCCCAGAGCTGTTTCTCTTGCCCTTGAGTCTTAACCTTTTCATTTATGTTCATATGAGGAAATAGAACCAAGATTCCTCATACTGATAATAATGATGAGGCATGATTTCTCACCTGCAGTCCTAGCTACTTGGGAAGCCAATGAATGATTTTTATTTGAGTCCAGGAGCTCAATGCTCCAGTGAGCTATGGTTGTGCCACTGCACTTCAGCCTGGGCAACAGAGTCAAAAAATCTTAGACAGGTGGCTAACACTTATAATCCCAGCACTCTGGGAGGCTGAGGAATCTAAGCAAGAGCAAGACCCCATCTTTTCTAAAAATAGAAAAACTAGCTGGGCATCGTGGGAGCACCTATAGTCCCAGCTACTTGGGAGGCTGAAGTGGGGGAATCCCTTGAGCCTAGGAGTTTGAGGTTGCTGTGAGCTGTGATGCCATGGCACTCTGCCCAGGGCCACAGAGTAAGACTCTATAAAAAATAAAAATAAAAGAAAAATGATAGCACCAAATACTTTGTTATGTATATTGTATTAGAAAGTATCACCTATTGCTGTAAAATATTTTACATGGATTATTCACTCATTTAATTCTCACAATAACCCCATGGAGGAATTGCTATTGTTTGTATTTTATAGAAGAACCCAAGTGAAGTGCAGAGAAACTTCTAGGGTCTTATGTTTAGTAAGTGGCAATCCTAAGATTTGAACCCGGGTAATCTAGCTCCAGAGTCTACTTCTACTCACTGTTGTTCAAAAAGTAATTTTTTTTCCGTTAGTATAGTGGTTTAAAAAGAAATAAAAGTGATCTTTTTAATCCATGTCTCTTTAGTACTTGTTTTTACTCTTTACTAAGCTGCTGCCTAGTTGCCAAATGACCTTCGGCAACATATTTAGCCTCTTTGTTTCAGTTTCTTCATCTACATTGGGGTAATAATGGTACTTATGTCTCGAGTTTATTAAGCAGAGAGTATCATTGTGTGAACCTTCCAGGTGTACAAAGCCCTCTCTAAAGGGGATTGGAAAAGCAGGCAGAGCTCAAAGCACAGGGAGACAGAGATACTGGGCTCTGTGAGGCTGATGGGGGTGGATTGCCTGAGCTCAACAGATTCGAGACCAGGCTGAGCCAGAGGAAGACCTTGTCTCTAAAAATAGCTGGGCATTGTGGCGGGCACCTATAGTCCCAGTTACTTGGAGGCTGAGGCAAGAGAATTGCTTGAGCCCAAGAGTTTGAGGTTGCTGTGAGCTGTGATGCCATAGTATTCTATCAAGGGTGACAAAGTGAGACTCTGTCTCAAAAAAAAAAAAAAAAGAAAGTGGAGGGAATGGGTCCTGTCTTATAATGGAGCTCTCTAGGGACCTCACCTTAGATTGCACGGGACTTAAATAGTTCTTGAAACCTTTGGGCAGTCAGGATTTGTCAGTCCTTTGGTCATTTAGGGGTTGTTTCAGGGATTCATAGTAGGTCTTACTCTAATCCAGTCTATTGATTTCCCCCAGACAAAGTGATGAGATGGTATATAAAAGAGAACAGATAGTAGGGGGTTATTCATAGGGGTCACAAGGTGGCTTCCTCTCTTGGTACTGAAAATACTTGGCAGGAAATCAAGCCCATGTATCTTGTAGGAGACGGAGTGGCCAGATGGGGCCAAGGACTGTGCCTGTTCCTGCCATGACGGAGGTCCTGATTCTAAGCTGAAGAAGAGCAAAAAGAGAAACTGTATCCACTGTGGCAGCAAGGTGAGGAGGACAGTGAGGACTGTCAGAGCTCTCTTGGGCAACCCTAAGCTTTACTGTTTGGGATATTGTTTGCTACCAAAATTTACACTGTATTGAATTCCTTATAAGATTATATGTATATTGATATTCAGTGTACACATTAGGGTATAAATGCAAAATAAACAGAATGTGTCAGAAATATATGACAGATTTTGTTTTTTAAAGGGAATCCTAGAATAAAGCTTTTAGAATTGGAGAAAACAATATTTCCCTCTTAGATTTTGTTTTAACCTTTGTTTAGGAAAATAGACTTTAAATTGGTTTAAATAGGTAATAGGTTTCTTTAGAGTGGAGCTGGTTGGCAGTAGAAATATAGCTCTGGGTTAGAGAAGGAATGGTAGGATCCAGTATGGTACTCTGGGCCATTTAAAATCCATGGAGCACTTGCTGGGCATGGTAGCTCACACCTGTAGTCCCAGCCACTTGGGAGGCTGAGGTGGGAGGACTGCTCGAGGCTAGGAGTTGAAGGCTATAATGTGAGATGATCATATCTGTGAATAGCCACTGCACTCCAGCCTGGGCAACATAGTGAGACCTTGTCTCTTGAAAAAAAAAATGTTTTGGAGCAGGCACCAGGTTGGTCAATTTGCTGAGTATTGGGCCTAGCTTCTTCCCTTTTGTGGGCCCCTAAGACATAAGAAGTCAGGACACCCTTGACCCAAAGGGCCATCCCTATAGGTCTGTGACACCAAATCCTACAAGAGCAAGGAGCCCCTGGAGCTGGTGGGCAGCAGCCCCCACCGAGAGGCCAGTCCTATGGCTGGTGCTAAAGAGGCTGGGCAGAACAAGGACGTGGTGGGAGAGGAAGTCTCAGAGGAGCAGGAGATCACTGAGGCAACTCAGAGCAGGAGCATTGGCAGGAGCAGCAGAAAGGGAGAGATGCCTGTTCCAGGTGAGCAAGCTGACTGCCATCCCCTGCCAACCCAGGCCTCTCCTTGTATTTCTCAGTCTTATTCTCATACACTTCAAGCAGGAATCTGTGAGTCTGGATAAATAACAGCCTTTTCAGGAATGCAAACACTTTCACTTATGACCAACAGGAAACCCTTTCCTATTCGACATTTATTTTCTCTCCTATTGGCCTTACTTCCCTTGAAGAATTAAGAGCACTACAAGTTTGACATGATTCAGCATTGTCTTTCTCTGCTCCCCTTCCTAAAGCCCTCCTCCTTGTCTTCAAATTCACTGTAGTCTCGTTCTAAAGACTCAGCCATCTGCAACCTTGGCAAGATGACTATGTCTTTGTATAAGTGACTTGACCCATTTCCCCCACCACTCCCTTACTCCCAAAGGGTAGAGCATGATTGGGGCAGCTCAGCTCAGTGGCCTCTGGTAATGTTAGTCCCTAGGTGCATCTTAATCTTATCCATTCCCTTAGGCCCTTATTTCCCTCCTAAGCAGGATTGGCAACGGCAAGTACTGTGCTGTCCTCTCCAGAAGTCGTCTTCACAGAACGGCTCCTTCTGGGTGATACACCACCTTGTTCACCGGAGGCTCCTCAGTTTCTTCCTAAATCTGGAGCTGTGCCCTACACTGTGAGGAGAAATCTGGCTGGGCCTGAGGTCCTCTCCTGCCCCAAGTCATCCCCGAGACTTCAGAGAGAGAGGGAGGGCCAAAAGGCAGGGGGTGATTCCCAGGCTTTGCTGCTGGTCTGGGACGCATCAGAAACAGAGAAATCACTAGGCACTGTTGAACCCCCTGCTTCCTTCCTAAGTCCTGTTTCCTTGAGAACCAGAGACTTAGGAAGAACACATATGTCTGGGAATCCAGATAACCTAGAGAACTGGCTGCCCTCAAGCAGAGTTGGGGTGAAGACAGCAGATAGGGTATCCCCTGTCCATGAATCTTCACCAGGAATAGACAATTCAGAGACTTCTTCCAAAGCCCCTAGAAGAGGCTTGGCCAAAGATAGTGGAATACATGGCAAGGGTCTTGAGGGGGAGCAGCAGCCGAAGACCACAGAAGCTACCGTGTGTGCCAACAACAGCAAGGTCAGCTCCACCGGGGAGAAGGTTGTCCTGTGGACAAGGTAGGTATAATGGGTGCTGTATGTTTGGGAAGGGCAAAGGAACATATTTATATGGCCCCTGAGGATTAATCTTGATGTGTGGATTTCAGAGAAGCTGACCGTGTGATTCTCACCATGTGTAAGGAGCAGGGAGCACAGCCACAGACCTTCAGTATCATCTCCCAGCAGCTGGGAAATAAGAGTCCTGCTGAGGTAAGTGGGGCTGAGGAAACACTCTTAAAGAATGGAGCCTTGAGCCCTGGTGGAGCTAGGCCTGGCAAAGAGGAAAGGGTGGGCAGTGCCTGTGGCTCACTGAGTAGGGCGCCGGCCCCATATACCAAGGGTGGTGGGTTCGAATCCGGCCCCGGCCAAAACTGCAACAAAAAATAGCCAGGCGTTGTGACAGGCACCCGGAGTCCCAGCTACGCAAGAGAATCACCTAAGCCTAAGAGCTGGAGGTTGCTGTGAGCTATGTCACAGCACTCTACCGAGGGCGACAAAGTAAGATGTCTCTTAAAAAAAAAAAAATTTAAAAAAAAAAAAAAAAAAGAAGAGAACAGGGTGGCCAACTAGGAGGAAGAAAGACAGGAGTTTGCAAATTCCAGGCACAGCCTTAAGGAAGGGCTTGACTTCTAGGGTGGCAGTGATCCTAGGGAAAGAAAGAGGCCTTGGAGTTTGAGATAGAAGCTCCCAAATTTCTACTCGTTTTTTTAGAAGAGTGTGACTTTGGACAAAGTATTTAGCCTCTTTAGTTTCCTTATCTATAAGGACACAGCTTTTACAACATTGCTGTGCGGAGTAAATAAAATATTTTTCAGGCTGGGTGTAGTGGCTCATGTCTTATCTCAGCATTTTAGGAAGCCAAGGCAGGAAGATTGCTTGAGGCAAGGAGTTCGTGATCAACCTGAACAATGCAGTGAGACCCTGTATCTACAAAAAAATTATGAACTAGTTGGGCATGGTGGCACACACCTGTAGTCCTAGTTACTGAGGAGGCTGAGACAGGAGAGGAGGATCATTTGAGCCTAGGAGTTCAAGGTCACAGTGAATTATGAATGTACCACTGCACTCCGGCCCCAGCCTGGGTGACAGAGCAAGACCCTGTCTCTAAAAAAAGAAAAAAACAATTCAAATTGGTACATAAAGTCAATAAATCTTAAAATGTTGGGCCATGCCTATGGTGGCTCACTCATGTAATCCTAGCATTCTGAGAGGCTGAGGCAGGAGGATCCCTTGAGCTTAGGAGTTTGAGACCAGCCTAAGCAAGAGAGAGACCCCGCCTCTAAAAATAGAAAAAGTAGCCAAGTGTTGTGGGGAGGCATCTATAGTCCCAGCTGCTTGGGAAGCTGAGCAGTAGGATCATTCAAGCCCAGGAATTTGAGGTTGCTGTGAGCTATGACAACATAGCACTCTAGCCCGGGCAATGGAGTGAGACTAAGGTGGGAGAACTTGAGCCCTAGTTTGAGACCAGCCTGGGCAATATGGTGAGACCCCATCTCTTACGTAAATGTTAGTAAAGAATAGTAAATATAGCTTCTTCTCATTTCCTCCTAGGTTTCCCACCGTTTCCGAGAACTCATGCAGCTCTTCCACACAGCCTGTGAGGCCAGCTCTGAGGATGAGGATGATGCAACTAGTACCAGCAATACGGACCAGCTGTCTGACCATGGAGACCTATCTGAGGAGGAGCTAGATGAGTGATACTCCAGGAATGGGTCATCTGCACAGGACCAAATCTAGCACACCCCCTGACACTGGGGGACAGGGTAGCTGTACTCTGCTCCCCGCCCTTGAGCGTAGGGTACAGATCTAGAGAACAGGAGCTCAGGACAAGGACAAAGTAAGGCGTGGGGTGGGGCCGAGGGCTTTGCCATCCTATGTTACTGTTCAAGGTCTTTTACAAAGACCTCACAAATCTACTCTGTAAAGAACATCAAGGGAGAGTGGGACTCAGCTTTCTCTACTTTTTTTTAGTTTGATGCACATATTTATTGTTCTGTGATCTAATTGATCTAATCGCAGTGTTTTTAAATAGGACAAATGTGTGTGTTGGTGGAGCTAGTCTCAGGATACCAGGCTCCTACATCCAGCAGTTTTTATTATAAACTAGCTCTTTTCCCCCAGCCTGGAGCTTTAGTGGGTAGGGCTATCGCCATCCTGGTAGCACTGGGCCAGGCTTTGTAGCTCCTGCAGCAGCTCCTCAAGGTCATCCTGTTCCACCCCAGAATCCATGAAGCTGGCCCATCGTCGCAGGTCAAGTCTGGTGAGCTCTTTTGCCAAGGCTTCCAAGGTGCGGTGCAAGGACGAGGAAGAGCACAGTGCCCCTAATACAGGGATGCTGCTTGCTGCTGTGAGGGAGAGAGCAGCAGGCCTGTGAGTGGGACTCAGTCACATTGATAGGGAAGCCTGGGCCTCGGTGACTTAATTGTAAAGTAACTCAGTAAATCTTGTGTACTGTCCCCTTAGTATGCCAATTCTGGAGAAAAAGCATTTTTCTTGGGAGCCATAGGGTGAATAAAGGAACATTTAACTGTGAACTTTTAAAGTACTTCTAATCTAAGATGGGAGATAGTAAAACCTCTCCCCTACTTGAAATCGCAATTTTCTTCACCTTCTGCATACCTGAACTTGCAAATTTTCTTCACCTTTTAACATACCTGCCCCTTTTGGGGGGCCATTGGGAACTACACCGTGCTCGTGGCTGAAGCTTGTGGAGAAGAGATGGGGGTAAGGAGGAGCCACCATGCAGGGGGTCAGCAGCAGATGGGAAGAACTGTTGGGGCAGAAAACAGCAGTGAAGTGAGCAAGAAGTCAAAGGAGGTCTAAGATCTGGGAAAGGGCAGGAGCCTTTACACTGACCTCCTGACTCTGGGCTGCTGCTGTTGTAAATACTGGGCCAAGACTTCTTCCCCAGTGGTACACGCATGGAGTGGGGATCGTAGAGGTGTCCCTGGGGAGAGATGGCTATGGGAACAAAGCAAAAACACCTTTAAGGGCTGGGTGACGTGGTTCATACCTGTAATCCTAGCAGGACCAGCCTAAGCAAGACCCTGTCTATAAGTCCCAGCTACTTGGAGGGTGAGGCAAGTGAATTGCTTAAGCCCAGGTGTTTTGAGTTTGCTGTGAGCTATGATGCTATGGCACTCTACCCAGGGCAACAAAGTTAAACTCTGTCACAAAAAACAAACAAACAAAAAAACCCCAAAACTCTACACCTTTAATCTGCCATGGCAGCACGAATAAAATACTAAGTATTCCTATGTTCTCAGGCCATCAGCTAAATCAAGGATGTTCAGGGCCTTTTTTTCCTTTTAAAGGGGAATGCAGAGTAGGGAAGGAAGAGTCATTAGAATGCTCAGAGATATTAGGGAAAATAGGACAGAAAACAAAAATCTGACAAGGACTCCTCTAAGTAAGGCCCACCAGTCCTCACCTTGTGTGGCAGGCTTTGTCAACACCCCTCAGCACCACTGACTGGGCAAAGCAGCGTGTTCCAGAAGGGTCCCCACATGCAGACAGTGGGGTCCATGGGGTGGCTCCTCCAAGTTGCACCAGCGAATCAGGAAGGGACTGGCCTGGAACCAAGGGGAAGGGGATGGTTGCTCCTGCTGTCACCACCTAAAGAAAAGGAAGAAAACAGGTTATAGAACTTTGTGTCAGCACTGACCTAACTCCTCACAAAGTTTCATACCTTCTTCCCAGAGAAGCTCAGCATATCAGCCAGATGAACCATGGACACTGGAGAGGATCGCAGGCGGTAGGGGACAGTAACTGTGTCCAAGGCTGTAGCCAGGATGGCACTGCAGTGGACGGGCAGAGCAGCCTATAAAGAGGACACTGAGAAGAAGTACTTAGCCTTTTGGGTCTGGAAAAGTGTGTGGAAGCAGAATATTAATGGCAGAGAGGTTTGGGGGATGGAGCAGGGGTTGTGTCTGGCCCAAGACTAGACAACCAGAGGACACTGATCTAAGAGGCCACATCACAGCCACATTCAAGCTCAGACCTCAGGAACAAACCCAGACACTGCTTTGGGGATTCTGAGGAGGCCCTGTGGCCAGCTGCTGTCAGAGCAAGAGCCCTGGGCCTTACATTGTAATGCAGGTAAGGGAAGTTGACAGGTGGCTCAGGTCGCAGGCCTAGGCTTCCACCCAGGGATAAAGGGCAGACGAGAGAGCTGTGAGCAGCCAGGTGTACCAGACCGAAAGCTGTATTTAACAGGCGGTAGATGTTTTTCTGGGGCTCCTGATGAAAAAAACAGAGTAGTTTGCATTAAGTAACTTTCTCACCGGGATTCTTATTTCTTTCTCCCTAAGCTATGACTACTTTTTCTTCTAAGTTCCACTCACCCCAAGATTGTAGGGGCCAGGTAGTAGGCCCCAGGTTATTATTCCTCGCCCTGAATATTCATCTTGTAGCAACTCTGCAGCTTTAACCCCTACCCCAGAGAAGCCATCGTGCAGGTCACATAGGATCTGGAAGCCCTAAAAAGAGGTGAATGATGAAAGAATAAAGTTAAAGAGTACAATAAGAAAAGTTTCTAACCTAGAGTCTACCTCACCACACAGCTACCTGCAAGAAGTCACATTCCTCTACGTAGAAATGCAGCCTGTCCTCCAGCTCTTCTAGATACCTGGGTTCCTTCAAGACACTCTCCCCTTGGCCAAAAGCCTCAAGCCGACCTGCTTCCCTGTCAAATGTGATCCCAGAGTTAGGAAACCTTCTTCCTCAACAACTCTAGGCTCCTTTGTATGCAGGGCAGATGCCTTACAGCCTCTGAGGTCCCCATACCCATCATGATTGTACTTCTGGATCATACAGATGCTCCGGGGATGGAGATGGACTCTAAGGAAATCTGACCAGACTCTGATGCTGCCCTCTGTGGGAACTAGTGGTTTTGTAGTTGCAGCAGTGGTGTGTGGTGGGGGACCTTCAGATAAAGCAGAGAAAATGTATCTTTGTCAGTATTCCTGCTTTGCCCAAGCCCCTGTCCACCAGTATCTCCGGAAGTCTTACCTTTGCCATTAGGAATGGATTTGACCCTCCAGATACCTTCACTACTCAGTACTCCCTGGGATGGGTGAGAAAAACCTACATTTAGTTCCAGGCAATTTAGAGGCAAGGGTGCTTTGTCCCCCCCAACTTTGCTGGCCACTCCCCACGGCCTCCTTTCTATTCAGGTAGGTCACATTGTTCTCAGGAAAAGAAGTGCTTTCCCCCCCCCCCCCAAATTCATAGTAACATCCAGTGTTTATAGTGCCTAAAACCCTCTTCTTAAGTCCACTTTTCATTGCCCCTGTGGAGGTGCTCTGGTTAGTGTTGTTCAGGACCAAGGCCTTACCTCTGCCCCAGGAAAGTCCTGGAGGTGAAGGCTCTTGGGATAGAGCTCCTCTTGGTGCGTGGTGAGCTTCCCCTGCCTGAAAGAGTGGAGACTGAGTAAGGAAACTATCAGAGTTCTTAAGCTCTCTGCACACCCTCACTGCTTTCCACGTTAGCTACACACCATGCGATCGCAGCGTCCAGCTGTCTGTCCCTGTAGAGTCCGCCTTCCTCCTGTAGGGAGCTTAGACTACCTGTGCAGAAGTGAATAACGGAAGGTTAAAGTCTGGGCACACTCTCCCAGCCTTCAGCTAACTTTCCTTGCATCACCTGACGGCCTGCTGTCACCTTCCTTCAGCACTTGGCCTTTGCGAGCCTTCTTGATTATGCATTAGTCAGGTAGGAGGGCTCTGGTCTGGGAAAATCTAGATTCCGTCCCTCCGTTCCCAGCTTAGTTATCAGCTTGTGGGACTCGGGGCAGAAGCCACACCCAGCGCCCTGCAGGACTCCAACATCTTACAGTTCCCAGGGACTAGCGGCCCGTTCCAGCGAAACGGGCACTTGGGCGGAGGTAAAGTTTTGCCTCCAGGCGCCCTGCGGCCGTCGGAGCGTTGCGGTCGGCTACTCTGCGGCCCAGTAAGGAGGGTCGGTCTCGGCTCCGGCTGACCCCTGCCGCCGCCTCACCCTTCAGATCCACGAGTATGAGGCGTGGCGTGTAGGTCTCCTGGCCGTGCAGCGTCCGGCCGGTGCGGTACAGGACGTCGGGGCTCAGCTCTCCAGGTGGCTCCTGGGCCTCTGCCGCTCGGCCTAGCGCAGCATCCTGTAGAGGTGCGGAGGGAGGGCAAGGCTCAGAGGCGGCGCGGGCAGGCTGGCAGTCAGGGCCGCGTACTCGGAATGGCTACGCAGGGGGTTACTGCGGTGGACCTAACCTGCTGGTTCCACCAGTGCGCACCCACGAAGCCGGCGAAGTGCCCCAACTGCAGCGTGAGCACTTCCCGGACCCCGCCCGCCATGCCGCGCCGCCGCTGTGTTCGATGCCCCTCGCCAATTGGCTAGGCAACCTCTGGGCGGGGCCTGGTTCTCCCGGTGCTATTGGTCCATGATAAGATCCTTCCCTGTTGAGTAAACGAGTCGTTGGGCCCTGGAGGCTCCGCCCACTAGGGCGTGGCTTACCCTGCTCCCTTAGGCAGCCAGGAGGGGCGGGACACTAGCCTCGCCGGAAGTTGGGGACGCCCGCGCGCAGGGATCCCACTCTTCCGTCGCCTTTACCTTTGCTGTTCCTGGCGCTTCCGTTCCTCTTGAGCGTCCTCACGCAAAGGTCTCTGCTGGATAGAGCGTGAATTCTGATAGTGAAAGGGCGCTAGGCATCCGGGAGCGCGGGCGCTCGGTTTGCTACGGGAGACACTGGTGCCCTGAAACACCAGCACTCTGGGAGGCCAAGGCGGGAGGATCGCTGGGCTCCGGAATTCAGACCGGCATGAGCAAGCAACACAGCAAGACTCGGTCTCTACTACAAAAAGAAAAACTAGGGGCGCCGGCCCCATATGCTGGAGGTCGTGGGTTCAAACTTGGCCCCAGCCAAAAACTGCAAAAAAAAAAAGAAAGAAAAGAAAAGAAAAGAAAAACTAGCCGGACCTTGTGGCGGATACCTCTAGTCCCAGTTACTACTCAGGAGGCTGAGGCAAGAGGATCGCCTGAGCCCAGGAGTTTGAGGTTGCTGTGAGGTTTGGCAGCACAGCACTATCCAGCAGAGAGGCTGTGTCTCAACCAAACAAACAAAAACAATGGATTCATTATATCCAATGTCTGCTGAAATAGATGAGTTTTTCATTCTCTTAGGAACTTGGAGAAAGGGATTTGGGCTGTACAAAGAAGCTGGAAACAAAGAATTTCAGTGAGGGATCCAGGAATCATCAAAGGATGGAAGTATAAAAAGAAAATGAGTGTTCAATGTCTGGGAGGGAGAAGTTAAACTGTGAATCTTTTTTTTTTTTGAGACAAGAGTCTCAGTTGGTCACCCTTGGTAGAGTGCGGGGGTGTCTTAGCTCACAGCAACCTCAAACTCTTCGCCTCAAGCAATTCTCTTGCTTCAGCCTTCTGAGTAGCTGGGACTACAGGCGCCCACCACAACCCCCGGCTATATTTTAGAGATGGGGTCTCGCTCTGGCTCACGCTGATCTGGAACCTGTGAATTCAGGCAATCCAGCCACCTCAGCTTCCCAAGTGTTGGGATTACAGGCATGAGCCACCGTACCCAGCCTCTAAGCTGTGAATCTTGATCTGCTGAACTAAACAAAGTCTAGAACCAGAACCACTGGAAATTTCTATACAATTGAGTCTCTTAAGCTCCCCAACATGCAGAATACCAGATATATTCAATTTGGCCAATCTGAAGGCTCTTCATAATATAAACCTAACAAGACATTTTAAGAAATATGTTTAATTTTTTAAAGGAAAAGATCCATGATTATCTTAAATGTGAAAACCACATCCAGTAAACCAGTATGTGTTTCAGGAACAAAAAGACATCTTATTGCCACATGTTCTCAGTCATTTCACCAGGAACTCATTTCAGTAAAGGTCTAGAGGCAACTGCTGTGTTGTCCAGGCTGATAAGATTAGAGGCCTGGTTGCTCTCCCTTTGTGGTGATTCATCTGATCGAGTCCAGCTTAAAGGAAATGTCCAGTTCTTCCATGTACGTTGCAAATGTGGCTTAGAGGTAGGCACACAGCCGCTCCAGTTGCCAGGGGTTTGCATTACTTAGGAACAGCAGCTCCTTCTTCCCTTCTTCTGTGTGAGCTAATGGAGTCAAACACAAGTAAGTGGTAGTTTCCTCCTGCTCCATTGTATTCTCCAGAAAATACTATAGTCAAGAGGCTGTCTTATCCAGATTATGCTCTGATGGAATCAGCATCTCCCAAGAGATCTCACTTCTAGATCCTTCATTCTTTTCCTATTCATAATTTCCTTTTCTGTCTCTACTCCTCTAATCAGTATCTATCTCTCCCCCTCCATTCTCAGAATTATCTTGTGGACTTCAGGACTTTCCAACTCCCTTAGAAATCTGTCCATAGTGCTTCCCAATCTACTATGTTGGCTGCAGCAACTTTTACATTCCTATTTCTACTCTTTTAAGAACTTATTCCAATTATTATTAACTCTCTGTCTAGCAAGAAAGTGGCCTTTACTTATCTACATCCCATTTCACAATCTGGAGGTGAGGGCAAGGGTAAATAACAGCTGAGATGCTTTCAAAGTGGACCAAACAGGGAGGTAAGAGTTAAGTTTTGTATATATACCCGGTTGGGTGCAGCAAAGAGTTAGTTTGGTGCTGGTGTAGCTCTCCCATGGTATGAATTATCCTATGGGTTTTCCAGCACATGATTCTATCAATTGAAGTTTGCTGAATGAATAAATACAACAAAGAGAGTGGCTGCAACCCAAACACCTGGAAATTGCTCAGTGGCTCAATGCTTTGTCTCTTTTTTAACATCAACATTTTATTCTGGACTAAGATGAGAATTTAGGGAGAAATATAACCTCTTTTATAAATTAAACCTTAACTATCCCAACCCACCTTTCTGTACTATCTTATTAGCCAGAAATAACTCAAGATAAGGGGAAAAAAATGAAGTAAATATTACAGACTATTGCTGAGGGAAGAAGAGATCAAGGCTCTGATTCAGTGGGATTCTACTGTGAGCACCAAGACCTGATAGGAAAAATTAAATTACCTTTTTCATGTTGAAGCCATTTGTTCTCCAAGTAATACTGAATACAACTTTCAAATTCCTTTGGGTTATAGTTAGAAACCTGGATGGGAATAAAGGGATCTAGGGCATCAAACCCTTCCTAGAAAAGAAAAACAATGACATAGGGTTAAGGAACAAATTGGCAAAGGGAAAAATAATACTTAAAGCACTTTGAGAGCAAGGTCTTTGTTTTTCTTTTCTTCTTTTTGTTTTTAGAGGCAGGACCTTACTTAGCTATCTGGGCTGCTATGGTGCAGTGATGTGATAACAGCTGTCTTCAGCCTTAAAGCCAGGACTCAGGACATTTTTCTGCCTCAGCCTCTTGAATAACCGAGACAAAAGGAACATGGCATCATTCCCAGCTAGTTTTTTAAAGTTTCTGTAGAGAGGAGGGTCTCACTATGTTGCCTGAGCTATTATGAACTCCTGGCCACAGACAATCCTTCTATTTCAGCCTCCTAAAGTGCTGGGGTTATAGGTATTAACCACTGTGCCCAGCTGTTTTTCTTCTGTTCAGCTCTACTCCTCATTCTCTAATTATCCTGACTTATATCGGACTCTACATGTGGTGGCCATTACTGTTGCTCTACATGGCCACAAGCATAATACAGCAGAACCTCCATAGCTGACCTCCTCCTTCAAACTCCTTAGCCGGGTGTTGTGGTGGGCGCCTGAGGTCCCAGCTGCTTGGGAGGCTGAGGCAAGAGAATTGCCTAAGCCCAAGAGCTGGAGGTTGCTGTGAGCTGTGACGCCACCAGTACGCTACTGAGGGCAACAAAGTGAGACTCTGTTTCTTAAAAAAAAAAAAAAAAAAAGCATAAAGCATACTCAGAGTACAGACTCTTAGGCTAAAGACAAAAACTAAACAGCCATCAAATTCCAGTTAGCAGAGGCAGGGAAAAACCTCTAGCAGCTTCTTCATAGAATCAAGGTTTAGTAAATGCAAACTACTTTTAAGCTAATAAGTAAATATATGGCTATTGAGAACAGATTTTTGTCTTTTTTTTTTTTTGAGACAGAGCCTCAAACTGTCTCC